GTTTAAAGTAATGGGGCATCTTACGAGATTTATTCTATAAAGAATAATATTAATAGACCAATAAGGCAGCTCAGCACATTAATAAGGAAATATATTATGCCCAAAGTACAGCAAAACCTGTTTTGGTAGTAAAATGACAACTGGATGAAGGACTGTGATTGCAGTGGTAGCAAATTACACTTCAAGCTTCAGCCAAGGGTCAGAAAATGTTGTGCAAAAGAGTGTCCACTACTGTACAGACTCACAAAAGACTTCTACAGCTGAGTGAAAGAGTCAAACACAGTTCTGCAAGACTGAACAGTACTAAAGGTTTTACATTTAAGTTTGACCCTTGAATGTTTTCCAATATTGGTTTTCTCTGCACTTATCAGCAGTCACTGTAACTGCAGACAACAGAACAGACAAATCGTGGTCACAGAGGCACAGATTAAAGAGGCTGCTTGAGCCTTCCTCCCTTTCAATTTAAAAAGTTAACAACCTTAGTGACAGGGACTGGAAACACTCAAGAGTTCTGCTGATACACCATGCTCGGAAGAAAGGGGTATTCTTTTCTCTTAAATACCAAAGACCACTTTTTTACATGAGAGTAGAAGAGTGAATAAGATCTTTATAAATACGAATTGAAAGCTGGGTTGCTACACCCATATTTAGCCAGCTAGTTGACCTGATTTACAAATATTCCAAGCATCCTCTATGTTTCCGTCACCAAACATCATCTGGGCTTCAAGGGTGTCCAGCACAGTTGAAAATGAGGTCACTGATTTTAGAGCCTAAACAGAATTCAAACAACCTAACATTAGGTTCCTGCTTTGACAATGTCAGTATCTTGATCAGAAATTCGTTGGTTCCATTTAACTTACTAGCTCTGCTGGGCATAATTGCCTTCAAGAACAGATAAACTAGGTAAGACCAGAAGTCCACCTATACCACAGTCATTACTGAGTGTTCAAGGAAAAACTAAGACCATGGGATTCTTTTCTCATCACATTCTTCTAGATCCCAGCAACATGTGATGTGCCTAGTCAAGTTATTTATACACAGTACTTGGCTAAGAATTTTTCCTTGTGCTAGAACTTACTACAAAACTAGTACATCTGAAATACATTAATTCAAACAGAAAGAGCAGTAATCTTATGTTATTTAAACAATGTGTGCCAAACAAAAGACTTTGAAGACCATTGTTTCAAAAAGAGTACTTCAGCTGAATGCAAACAAAGGCTTACAACCCCCAGGGGAGTAAAATAAACATCAGCATATTTGCTCTGTAAGAAGTAGAAAGCTGCTAAGCAGTTTCTAACACCGCCGTGACTATGAAAGGACTTATGCAATTAAACACTGACAGGGAAGTCAAGGTCTCAAGCACAGGCTCAAGTGGCATCAGAAGTCAGAGCTTCTGCATTTGAAAGAATATTTTTCCTCAGGAAATGAAAAAGGACAAGGAATTCAATTTCTTCAGGTTTTGACAAAAGGAAAGGAAATTGAGCTGTAGGTCTGTGGGAAGAGACTTTGGAACAGTGAGTTTGCAAATGTGATCCAAAAAACCAGACTGGGAATGAACTAATTTGAAGAGCACAAATAACCTATTTTTAATCTGAAATCAGTAATTCAGCTTTGTTCACAGGAACTCCTTGTTCACATGAGATCTTTTGCAACAGTGAAATACCTCCTATATTTACATGCCAATGGGGTTGTCAATTCCTAAGGGAGTAGAGTACCATTAACAGCATCAAAACATACTGCTACTTTTAATCTCCTGATTCTAATCTCTTAGTTCTCCAAGTACATGAATGATGTGCACCTTTCAGCGTAGTGTGTGGTCAGGGATCTCTTCCTTGAAAAATCTAATTAGGAGCTCTTGGGCTTGCAGTCTGATACACTTCCCTACTCCTTCTACTCAACTTCACTCTCTTCTGCTAGCGAAAGAACTTAAAAATCAGACAATTAAGTACTCTTAGGTGTTCATGAGATTCTCAGCATTCTATAGAAAGCATTGAATCTCTGGCTTTTAAACTATTTAAATATGGTCTGCAATGCTTTATTAATTTATGTACAGTTCAATGTAATATCACCAACAAAGACACAGAGACTACATTCTTCTTTTACTAGCATGAATTTAGGAGCAGGTATACTGAATCACTGGAACTGAAACCATATATAACCAAGAGAGAGTACAAAACTAAATCCCCCAGCTTCAAAGATCTGCAGGAAGCAAGAGGGGATGGCTGCAATTATTATACACAGGCAAGATCCCATTTCCATACAGAAGTCCATAGCCAATTAGAAAAACAGGAAAATTTGTAGAGAAAACACAGGTGAAATGAATATGCTTTCAACTAGTTTTTCTCATAAAGCATCTGTCAGACTCCAAGAGAAATGCAGCTGACCCAGAGTAGCTGCCACTAAAACAGACAGCTTAAAATGCCTAATTAGGTCACTCCGTGCAAGAACTATCATGAATTTCACCCCCATCTAAAATGCTGGGGAACATCCTTCCCAAATAAAAGGAAGTATTTTGGGATATGAAAACCACAGTAAGTATCACCTGATGAGGAACAGACAAAGAAAAATGCCAAATGCTGTCAAGCCCTGATACTTCAGATAGTGGCTAAAATTTATGACTTCCTTCACTGGTAGGCAGGAGTACAATTAGAATTCTCATAACACTACCTCCTATGTGCTGGCATACTATGTTATGTTTATACTGCTACAGATAGACTAGAAGATAAAAAAATAAATAGTATTAAAAAGCATCCTTTTTAACCAAAGGTAACAACTAACTTTTTTTCTTTATGTGGGTTTGGACACAGTTTTGCACATAGTTTATTGTTAACTGAAGTAATTTAGGTAATTTTCATTGTATGCACAGGAATTAAGCATTTAAGTAGCTTGCTACATACATAGAAGCCTCTATTTGAAAAATCACACAAAACAAGAACAAACAAGCTATTATGAGTCACTTAATAATCTCCTGCCCAAATACAGCTTGATAATTAAACAGCTCAAATTATTCCTTAAATTGATTAAATTTTGAAAAATTTGAATGTGTTTGGCTTGAGGAATTGTTGAATGAAAAGCATCAGGAAGTATGCACACCCATTCTTTCATCCTCTATTTATATTCAATGATATGTATCACTTGGAACTGACAGTGGTCAGAAGCAGCACAAGGGAATGAAAGCATGGGTTTTTCTCATCTTCTTCACAAAGAAAGCACAATTACAGTATTTTGAACACGAGGTTTGGACTCAGGTAATCACAAACGGTTTGGAACAGAAACCTGCAGGCATCTTTTCCCTAAAAATTGTGGGAAACATGCAGGGAAAGCACTGGCAATTTCTCAAAGAGCAGTAGCATATCAACAACTGAATCCTGAAGATTTCTTCTACTGTGTGCTGTGATTTTGGCCAGACATTGCTCTCTGCTTTCTCATTCATTTTGTACTGTTTGTGTGTCTTGCCCTTCATGGTTCCCCAGATCACTGCTCTTATCATAAGCTAAGCAAAATGGCCTGTTTCTTAATTACAGCAATGATCCATAAGAACTTGTGTCAACCCTTTAGTACTATGCCTTTGAAGTCAGAGAAAATTGCTAAGCAGCTCTGCAAACTTTGTATGGCTTCAAGAACATCACACTTCACTCCAAATCAAACCACTGTGCAAAGCACCAGAGAATATAATCTGTGGCAGGGGCCCAAAGCAACTTGATGCTTTCAGTGAAGAAGTATCATTGAAAGCTCAGTAACCAGTAAAACCAGTAACCAGTAAAAAGTATCTACAAAGCAACGAGGCTTATATGACAGAGGAGGGTGACTGACTGTTTAAGTTTTAAATTTTCTAGATCTTCAGAGAAAAAAAAAAGGCAAGTAAAATTATACTAAGAACTACACAATATTGTTATGTGCCAGCATAATTTTCTACTTTTAACCCAAAAGCTGTGGCTGCCTCATCCCTGCATGAGTTCAAGACCAGGCTGGATGGGGCTCTGAGCAACCCAGTCTCAGTGTCTGTGCCCATGGGGTAGAGGGGTTGGAACCAGGTGATTGTGTCTCTTCCAACCCAAACCATTCTATGGTTCTATAATTCTGGTTCACCTACATATCTGAAGTTACAATGAAAGCATTTTATTAAAATTGCTTCAGATATCAAACCTATTTGACAACTGCCTCAGGAGCTCCACAACAGAAATTATACAGTCTGGGAATACAGCTTTCCTTTCAGTCATTATTTTTCTAACAGAGCTTTACCTTTAATTCTTTTCTTGGATGTTTTGTACATCTGCCTACATGAATCCACTCTACTGTTGGCACTAGTGAATAAAAACAGTGTTTTGATCTCTGCTATTAACAAACAGTTTCTCATTACCAACTTAAATACTTTTTTTTAAAGAAAAATTAAAAGTGAATGGGGAATTTCAATTGCTAGGCATTGTCTTACAACTAACAGAGTTAAAATTTTATTGTCCTTGCATGACTGGAAATTATACTGCAAAACCAAAAGTATTTAAATTTTTTATTTTTCACAATTCCATGAAAACTTGATAATATGATCCTTACAATCTGCCTTACTTAGCTTCTGAAGACCAGTGTTTGAGCAGAAACTCATAAATCATGACTTATGAGGAAACTCTAGATGTAGACTTTAACATGCCCTTGTTCTATCAAAACATAATGGTAACATCAATGCCAAAAGAAAACAAGACAAAATGAGTGCAGCATCAAGTACTTAAATCAACAAAACCAATAAAACAACTTCAGTTTGGCAAATGAGGAAATTCAGACCCACACGGCTAATAAGCTTATATTTTCCTTCCCTGAAGGAAGTCCTGTTAAAACTAAAATAAAGATCACAAAGGATGCAAACAAACCTATTACACGAAGTCAGAACAAAGTTTTAATTTTGATTTAAGAAAAACAGTGCAGCAACTTTATATTGGCAGCAATTTGACGCAGTTAAAAGAAGTCAAACAAAACACAGGAGATGAGATACTAAGAAGTTTCTTTACCTGGCCATTCCCAGGCTGGAGAAGTTGGAAGGAACTATCAAAACATCAAGCCTGGAGAAGGGGTGGGTACCCAGCGTGGAGAAAGCAGCAGAGAGGCACTGAGGGATGAGCGGGAGCAAACGTTCCTCGCAGAGCTGCACAAGGCAGCAGGGAGAGAAGACTCTGTGAGGAATGACTGCCTGCCAGCTCACTGCAGGGTTCTGGAAACGGCAGGGATATCCCACATGGCCACACATTGCTTCATGCCAGCTGACAACAACAAAACAAACCAACATTTAATGTGAGATCAGAAATGTGCACGACTGACTATGCTAAGACAGGGATGTTCTCCAGGCATCAGAAAGACAAAATGAATTTCCATAAAAGCAGCTCACTTTTATTCTCACACTGTTCACACACTGTGAAAACACTCATTAGTACATGAGTAGAACTGATAATTGTTACTCATAACTAAAAAGACAGTAGTCACATCTTGTTTTTATAACAGATATGCATCAAAAGAATAAATGCTCAAAATATATGTAAAGAGAACTAATAACAATAAAAAGTATTTATTCAGAAAATTCCTATTCAAATTAGACTACGAAAAGAAAATCCCATACATGTTAACATACATTAACACAAACATGTGCAATTAGAATGAAATTCCATGAGGGATTTTTTCTGTTGCTGTTACTAAATTCTCTCACTTTTAGTGATTCTTTTTTTCTTCTTAAGTAAAGAACAGCAGTAGATATCAACTCAGGGTTATCACCACAGACATTCAATAATGCCACATTAGACTCAGCCTTACTTTATGTTACTTTTGCAGGATATTCAGAGCTGTAGCTGGAAGAAAGGAGGGGTAAATCAAATCCTTCCTCAACACTGAGTCATTTACCTTCATAATAAGTTATCTGCCCAAATAGACTCATATCTAAACAGAAATCAACTTCATGTTTTCACCTGTTAGCCTGTCTTCTGTACCGTGGAGAGCTTCTCTTTGGTTTGAAATTTCAATTTAAAGAACCTGGTTCTACTATGCCTGGACAGGCAAAGCACCTAGCATTGCCCGAAGCATTTATACTTGGAAGATCGTGCTGAAGCTAAGTGCTGGTACAGAAAACAAAATGATAACATCTAGAAAAGGACAAGATTTTGCTGCAGTGTCAACACTTTAGCACCTTACATAAGTCTTTCTGTCAAAGATGTGGACTCAAAGTTCTTTCATTGATTACGTATGTAAAGAAACTGCATCCATCACTACACTTTTTTTTTTTCTAAGCATGGTCTAATCCAGTATATTTCTGCTCTAAAACAATGTCACTTTGTATTTTATTATCAGAGTTAAGATTAGGCAGGAACACGAAAGCCAGCACCCCCTCTCTTGTAAAAATTGCCAAGTACTTAAATGACCACGAGGAGATAAAGTTAAAAACACCATAGTTCCATTTAACATTTACTTTGATACAGTCCCCTTAAGTCAAACTCACTGGCACCTGGATAAAAATTACATTACACATTTCAACAGCTTCTTTCAGAACTCCTTCCTTTTCCTGATGCCCAGAATTTATCTCCACTATCTTATCAGAGGCACAGGCTTAACATTTGCTTCTCTATCCATTTCACAGCCTTTCTAGAAATGTCTGCTACTGTGCATAATGTTAGTTCGGTAACCTGGTCTCAGAGACTAAAATAAGTAACAATCTCTGTTGTGCTAACCCTAAATAAAGATCAACTGGATATAACTGTAAGAGCATACATTTAAGGACATAAGTTTTTATGTCCTAATTAGCTGCAAAACACTTAGGGTTTCCTTTTTTGTCTATGCAATAGACACCCTGCTGCAGAGGATTTGGGGATTTTTTTGATCTTTCCCCCCCCAAGACACATTAGCTCTGTTTCTTCCACTGTCACCAACTCAACTGCTGCAGATATATCACACTGTGTCAGTTAACTCATCCAGTAACCATCATACAGATCAACTCATAACAATGACCATAGCACGGATTAAAACTTGCATGGACAAAAAGTTACAAAAATATTTCCTCTGTTTCAGAAGTTTTACAAAAGGTAGCAACACTGTGTCAAAATAATCTTTTGCACCAAATCAATAAAAATTCCTATTACCAAATGTGCTGTACACTAGAGAGGAATACTGTAGTGACGTTCTACAGCTTACTTCAGTAGAGGCAGTCATATTATAAACATAAAAATGGCAAAGGAATAAACACAAAACAATTTCTAGAGGCTTATCAAACCTATAAACTATTTTAAAATTTGCATAGGTATGTCTTACCGATCCCAGGTAAATTATAAAAATTTCTATTGTCAACCTTAATAACAAAATTTTTAACCAAAATTAGCCAGGATGCAAGCCATCAGAATCCTTTAATTTTGAATTAAAAAAAAATAACCCTATTACGTTCTCATGTTCCAACGTCTCACTAGCTTTACCAAAACCATAAGGACTTCCACTGTCTTAATGCTAACACAACATTAGCCCAAAACAGCTATTTAAAAGGCAAGGCTTTTTTTGGCAAAGTTTCAAATACTTATGACCTGACTCACCTAATCACCTTCTACAACAAAACAGCAATTTCTGTTGACAAGGGGAGAGAGCACTGGCAGTCGTTTGCCTGGACTTCTCCAAAACATTGATTAGAGTTTCCCACAGCTGGACAAACTGGCAGGAGACAGCCTAGCTGGTGGTCTGCAGGATGGGCACAGAACTGACCCCAGGCTGCACTCAGAGTGGTAATGGATGGTTCTCACTCAGGCAGGCAGCCTGGCACAGGTGGAGCTCCTTAGGAAATCATGTTGGGCTTCACACTGTTCATCACCTTCACAAATACCCTGCAGGATGGGATTGGAAGCATTGCCTCCAGGTGTGCTGATGAGACCCAGCTGAGTGGTTAGAGGGACACATGGAGGGAGAGCTGTCCTACAAGGAACAGACAGGCAGGAGGAACGGGGCTGGTAGGAACAGTGAGAGGAGCCACACAGACAAGTGCCAAGTCCTGACCTGGGGTGCCACAGGCCCAGAGCCCAGCACAGGCTGGGACTGTGCCTGGGGAGCAGCCCTGCTGAACAGGACATGGGGGTTCCTGAGGGACAGTCAGCTGAACATGAGTCACTGGTGTGACACTGCAGCCACCAAGGAAAATCAGATCCCACAGCTACAGTGGCACTGCTGGCAGAGAGACAGACACAATCACCCCCTCTGTTCAGAGCTGCTCAGGCAGTACCTGGACTATCATGTCTCATTCTGGTCTTCACAACCCATGAGAGGGTCTAAAGAAGGTCCATGAGGGGAGGGGAATTGTGAGCAGGTAATATTCTAGCAGGGGGCATTAGGTGTCCAGAATGGACTGAGTCCAGTTACATGAAAGATCTTAGAGCCAGACATTGTAAGAAACAAGACAGGAACTGGCATTGCTGCAGCAACACAGGATGTAGGATACAAATTCTGAGGATAGTGGGATTTATGAACCCTATTGCTCACTAAGCGGCTTGTTTTCACATAAAAAGAACCACACCCATACCCATGAAATAATGCCTTTGGAATTATCTTCCTGTCAAGGTTTTTCTGTTCAGATTAAACAAGTTCTATTTTGATTCATGTACTAATATGACTCATTTTCATATTCCAGAGAGTAAATGGAAATTCTACCCATATATCTCATTTTTCAACAATATTATAAACACTAACCTGAAATCAGCTTGTACAGATGGCAATGAAAACTCAGTTTTTGTTGGAAGAGCAGCTGTGAAGGACTGCTGCTTAACTTCCTGCCAGCACCCTACAGCAATGGTGAAGGTGGATGCTGGCATTGGCATAGACACATAGTAGTACCAGCTCAAGATATCTGTAAATAAAAAGAACATTTGTACAGAGTCATCAGTCTTGCAGCACACATTAGGTACTTGACATTTTTATGTACTTGAGATTTTGGGCCAAACCTCCCACCTTTAATCCTGGTATTTCTGAGGAAAGAAAAATAATTTCACCGACACACAGAAGAACAATGTAACCACCACGAATTCAGTACTGTTTACTTGCACCTCCAACTTTGCTCTATCTGCTGATGTCTGTATCTGTAAATAAATCATCCATAAGTGGGATGTTATTAATGCAACTTAACCTGATTGTACTGTTACTGCCCAAGAATTACATCAGACATGAAATCTAATAACACCTTTAAATACAAACATACACAAAATATTAAAATTTAATTCTTTCAGCCTTGGACCTACCACCTTATGGTTTTGTCTTGTTTGTATTATGTCACACAGAACAAAACCTTTCCTTGTGCTCTGGACAGTACCAAACTGATAGCCAAATTATAACAAATAACACTAATGCTTGTGAATTGGACCTGGCAATCTGAGATACGTCATGTGTCAACCAGGCAGTAGGAAATCAAAACTTGGACTCAGATGGGATATTACATAAGCCAACAATTTGCTCATGATATTCAGAATGTGCTAAAACAAGATGAGAGTCTATTAGAAGGTTAAAAGTTGCTTTATCATTATGGGAACACAGTGTGGGAAGACAAGGAGTATGGTACAGGATGACTGTATGTACAAACAGATTTTGTTAAACTGGAGGACATTTTAGAACAGCACACTTTCCATTAATATAAATGTTGCTTAGACTTTCAGTTTTCCCCTTTAAAAAGGATATAGCTTAAAAGTCACAACCACACATTCATTTATGCCCATAATATGTCACTACACCACACTAATAGATTAATTCTCTTGGAAAGAGCCTAGCATGAGTTACAACCTGATGAATCATGTGCAAACAACTGTAGCTGGGGCAACTGTGGAAACACACAAACTTCATTTATCTTAAGAGAACATTAATACTTGTTCTTCTGCAGTACTATTCTGACTACAGCTATGGAACACTACCAAAAATTTAAAAAGGAAAAATCCACAACCGAGTGGATATCACCAAGGCATAAAGGAAATAAAGAACTGCTGCAAAACATCTCTTCATTTCCTACCTTAATGACCACAGAAGGTCAAGCTGTCCAAAGGAAGGACAAGCAAAAACATCTTTGCGTTTAGCCTCAATAAATTTTTCACCTGCTATTTAGTATGAAAAAACAATACTGTTTGTGAAGTCTTCTGAGAGGCAGATAAAGCCTTTGTCTCTTTATATGCACTTATACTCCCTCACCCCATTCCACTTTTGGCAACATTCAACATCAAAACCCTTTTGTATTGTCAGGTGACTGTATATTACTCCTCTAATTTTCCTAACCTCCCATCAGTATGTAAGCAGAATAAACTTCTTTGCTCCAAACACATTAAGAACAAAGAGGATAACTGTTTGCCAAATTTCACCTCACCTTTTTTTTTTTATTATTAACTTAACAAAGCTACAAATGAGCCAAGACAAGCAAGTACCATCTTGACAGAAAAAGGTCACCCAGGACTGCAACAATATATTATTTCAAAATACCAAACTCCTGATGTACAGAGTTTCATTGATAGAAACTGTGCTAGAGGCCCAAGCTTGCACACACTGCAGTCAGCAGCAGCTTTACCACTGACTGACATTTGCACAAGGCAAGGCTCAGAGGTGCTGCACTTAGCATTGCACCTGACACACAGAGAGTTCCAAAAGGCTCCATGCAGTTATGCTAATGGTAAAATCTTAAGAATTAAATAACAGCAGAGGAAGAGTGAAAATTTGAGGAATTGTAATGGAAAAACCATCACGTGTTTTCAACTATGTTATGAAAAAAGCACGGAAGTCAAAAAGCAGTCACAGAAAACTGTTCCAAACAGCACGAGGTGCAAAGGAGAAGGCTCTCACAAATATGAAGAGATTGTCTAAAAGCAAAGGGTGTTGGCCTGTGCTAGGCAAACAGAGATTAGAGAAGGTTACAGTGAGAAACAAGTTTAGTAAGACAGGTTAGAGCAAGCAAGACCACAGAGGCTTTTTTTTAAAAAAAAAAAAATGTAGTTTGAACAGAACGTCAAAATGAATGGCAATCAGTTCAGCAGTGCAGAAAGAGCAGCACGTGCAGCATTCAGAGATTTACACAGAGTAGCAATGAACATATGCTACTTAGAGCAAACCATGCAAAAGAGCAAAGGTACCAAAGCCCATCCTATTTTGCAAGCGTTATAGAAATCATGGGAACTATGGATCCTCCCAGAATAAGATCCAAGATTTCCACTGTCTCTACACACCTAACCAGAGCTCAATCCATTTCCTGCAGGGATTTTAGATGCCTTCTGCATTCATAGTGTAGAACTGTGTAGGATAACTGTATACTCATCCTACGGTTGTTCTGCCTTGAACAACAAAAATCACATGCACAGGCATGACAAGTGAGTTCTCTCTATAGAACCACAGAATCATTTAGGTTGGAAAATGGTGCATTGGCTGATCAATGACTGAAATGGTCTTTATGCTGGCAACGCTTCCCTGCAGACAGAACCAAGAAGAACTGTTTCAAAGGGTGCCTAACTAACTTTTATTTTATCTTCTCCTCTCACTACTAGTAAGACGGTCTCCCAGCCCGATCTTCTCTCCCATAACTTCACTTCCTTCCTTACACTTTCTTCATGTCAGTGGGCTTTGTTTTGTTTTCCTTTCCTTCATCTGTATCACATGAGTTATCCCAGGACATATATCGGGATCACAACTCCACTCAACTCCTTTTCCCCTCCCCGCGTTTGCCCTGTGCTTTTCAGCGTCTACCTTGGAGACAGCACCACCTCTAGGATAACAGAAAACAGCGCAGCGGGAGCAGGGAGGCGGCTTTCTTTACCAAACACAGCATTTTGTACCATAACAACATCTGCAGACTAAGTAAGAACACCTTGGGAAGAACAAGATATTACGCTGGGGTTAGTCCATGGGAAAAATAGAGGAAGATCACTCCAGTCCTGCTATTTGTAACGGTATTTTAAAAGAACTTGAATTCTACACATAATTATTTTAGGCAATTATAATACTTTCAAAATATTTTGTTCTTTTCTCCACAGGAAATTGTGAAAATATTTTTTTTTCAGTTCTGCAGAGCAAATCTATCATGCCATAACTGTAAAAATCATGCAGCAACAATCACTTGTTCTATGGGTTATAACTGAAAAACTTTCCATGCAAACATTTAATAAGAGTAGGAGATTTTAATCTATTTGTAATTGTGCAAAAGAACAATTTAAAGGTCGTTTATTTCTTCTACTTGAAATAATAATGATGAATGATGTAATTCCTTCCTAGAATTTTTAATGCATTTAGTCATCTTTGAAATCATTAAAATTGTTCGAGTCCTGTAGAGTTCATTATAACTGTAAAAAATGCCCAAGTTAGTATCTGTTGATCCCAGATGCAAAACCATTGTGAATATTTGTACTTATCAGTATGTTTTCCCTGAAATAGCTTGCACTAACACAAACACCGCAAAATACAGATGATGTTCACAGCATACTGCAACCACGAAGCTCAGCTACCTCTAGGGAAAAGGAGAGGTAACCCTACACAGCATCTGACACACAAAGTAAGAGCTAATGTTAATCAACAAAACTGCAGCTAAATGAGTAGTTATGCAAAAACTACTATTTGGTTGGAGCACCAGGATTAAGAACCCTCCAGCTTTCTGAAACTCTTTGTAACTTGTAGAGATCTTTGATCTCATCTGAAAGCCAGAATTTCCCACAGAGCACCCAGGCATTCATGCCAAAGCATTTGTTCAGCACTAGCTCAGAGGGATGAGTAGATGTGATGAGCTGGCAGCTCCCATGCTGTACTCCCTGACACGTGTTGGAGATCAATCAACACCAGTGCTGGACTCCTTTGTTTTGCCTTCTGAAAAGTGAGAGGAGCAAAACAAAAGCAACTGTTGCTGCTGCTAAGTATAGAACAGCAGCAGTGGCTTCTGTAGCACCCTGTTTCCTCCCAGTAACAGTACACACCTTGTCACTGTCAGTGCAGATGTCAAAACAAGCTCAAGGATTCTATAATAGCAGAGTAAGCATGCCGAAAGCAACCCGGCCAACTTCACACCTGAGGGCTCAATATCTGCTTCTTGAACGTGAATCAAACACGTGGAAAGGTGTTTGTGACCAAATGTATTTGCACCTTCTGTGTGTTATAGTAGCATGCTGAAGGAGAGGAAAACTGAGAAGTGTTGACAAATAAATCCTATTGTAAATGGTTCCCATTGCACACACACAGCTCTGTGCAAAGCCTTCTCCCTAAGGACACTGCCAATGGCACTTTCCTGATTCATTCCCCTTTGCAAATTACTCCCTAAAGAACCACGGTATTTTTAAACACTTTTAGGTCACACTCAAACAGTTACTATTTCTACTTGCATATGTGTCTTTATCACTATTTTCAAACAAAAGTGGCCTCACTCAATTCCACATGATGGGATCAACCACAGTTTTGTAGAAGGTAGAATGCAAAAATGACACATACATGAGGAAACACACTCTTACCAAAATCTGCAAAGGAGGAATCTGTGCATGACAGCACACCCAGATTAGCTGTGCACTGGATTACTGCATCTACACATGGGGAGATGTATGTCTGTGAGGCAGAATGCAGGCCTCTAAAAGCATGAAGGAATTGACCTTGCTTGCTGTTCTTTTATTGCCTGCCTGCATACTAGTTATAAATATAACCTGTAAGGGCAAAAATATTCAGCTGACTTGTAACTTTCTTCAGAATAGATTAATTCACAACTACTTGCCAAAATGCTAATTCTTTCTGATAAATTACATTTTAAAAAATATATTTTACAATTCTGCCATTTATGTATCATTTTATAATCATGCAGCACAGCAACACCATACTGCATATAAACAATATGGCAAACTTACTTTAATTGAAGTAACCCTGAAAGGCTTTTTCGTTGTGTAAAGACAAAACTTTAAGTTGGATACATTTCATATGTCTTTCATAATTGCCTAACAACAAGATCTACATGGGATAGGTTATTTAATACAGCAGACCATTTTGAACTTTCTAACTCTTAAAAGTTCTACTAATTAAACTAATGAATTTGTATTCCTAAATTAATTACGGATGTTTGGGTTTTAAAACATCCCTCTCAATACTACTTCTTTCCCTTTTCCCCCCATATCTGTTTTGTAAGTTTTTACAATTCCAAACATCTCCCTGGTTTGCTATTTCCATCTGTATTTAAGCACCAAGATAATGAGGGTCTCTAATTGAACCAATTAAACACTGATGGCAAAGCCTTTATCCTAGTCCAAAGTCAAGTCTTCTTGCTTTCTTGATGCTGAGACAGGAAAGTATTAATCTCCAAGTGAGCTGAGCAGCTCATCATGGCAGTTTTCCATATTTTAACAGCAGAGACAAGCCTTGAAAGAGGATTCATACATGGCCAAACATAATGAGACAATTCCATGCAAATGGATTAACTGATGGTTCTCAAATCAAGGAGATTTTCATTCTTTTTTTTCCCCCCAAGAATAAACTTGCCTATATAAAGGGGAATAGAAGATTCTTTCCCCCAGAAATACTTATTTCTAACCCTTTCCTATATGGTACTTTTTATCAGAACTACTTACACTAGAAAATACTGAACCAGTTTGACACGATATATCAAAACTAATGGGAGCAGGACATACTTTATTAGGTGTAGAACTCCCTTAAAAGCTTCCTTCTCTGTGCAGACAGTTTAGAGAATAAAAGTTTAACCAACACAGAAGAAATTCCTGTCTGCTTACTATTGCAAAAGGTATGTTCTATCAACACAAAAAAAAACCTCACCCAGAGATCAGATTTTCAGGGCACTGACCTGATATTCCTCATCTATTCCATGTATTTCAGGAAACAGATATGACACAATGACTGCTTGTAATCACTGGCATGCTGAACTACACTCTGTCTGGAGAACTACAACAGAGAGAGAATTATCTACCAAGGCCTGAAGTTGTTGAGAGCCTGATAAGGTACTTCATCTATGAAACATCCAACTACAGAGTGATTAAAACAAAGCCAGTTTATGAAAAGTGAAATCTAGCTTTGGAAACACAGAGTTAAAAAAAAGTAAAAAGCAACACTGAAATATTGATGCTTTCAATTCTTACTAAGTTGTCCTAAGTCCTTGAGCAGGTAACTTTTCCACAGAGTGACGTGGAGATTGCAAAGAGACAGGGACGTGCTTTTAAGGTTAGGAGCTTTATTCTTTCAAAAACCATGCATTTACTAAGCTTTATTTCTAATTATAAAAGCATAGAAAATAATTTGCTATAAAGAATATATTTCACCTTCTGGAAGCTGGACTGGTTCTGCTGAGTTTTCCCCACTCATTAACACCACAAAGCCTCCAGCTGCTCGGACAGAGGCTTGCCATGTTGATAAGGCAACGGGTGGCTCTTGGCATGGGAAAAGGGCTCTGTTGTTTATTGGTGATCCCATCGTATAAACACATGGCCTAGACAGAAGAAAAAGGGATTGAAGTTGGATTTACAGTAAGAAAGACTGAATTAAGTTCTCTATCAAAAATCAAAATTACTGTTGTACTGATGTGTTTTTTACTTTAACCTCAGCTTTGTAGATTTCAAGCCTGCATGTATGAACCAATAAAATTACAATCTAAGTCATTTAAGACAAGAAAAGCAAGATTACTACAATATTTTTACATAAACTAGAAAAGACTAACTCTAGTCTTTCCCCTCCACTGCTTTTGCATGAGTCTTCCAGCCTCATACCTGGCTTTCAGCTGAATCTATAAGGCTAAAGAAGGCTTCTGAGTATCCTCTGAAGATGCTATTGCAGGGCTTCAACGTGTAATACCTCCCTGTTGTAATTACACTAGTGCTTTCATCATCATTAATCCCAGCTCCTGGATTAACAACCTGGAGGCTCATGCAAACTCAGCAGTAGATCTAGCTTTTTACTTTTCCTTAGCCCAAGCCTCAATAAATCCTGACATTTTTACCCTTATTCTTAGAGTAAGGTAATGCTCACCTGTTTTTCAGAATTTCAACCACAAGGCACATAATAATAAGAAAGAATATCTTCCCTATCAGCTTCAGCCTCCTCAATTTTCACAGGGCAAGCTTCCTTGTAGTACCGCTCTTTTTGCAGTGTCTCTAACCCTCTCCTAGGCAGCAGCCTCCTGATTTACTACCCCTTTCCAATTTCAGCTGCAATGTTTTATGCCAGCCAATTTCTTACTAGCCCCTCAGCCACAGCTGGGAAGATAACAAGGCCTTTCATTTAACTCCTCCTACCTTGCTATTGTTAGTGAATGGATGTAATGATTCTCGGTTTACTTCTTTTGTTGCATTTTGCAGTTTTATCTTAATTCCTACTACTTACATAACAACACACTTAGCTTAAAAAAAAAAAAAAAGCTAATTTTTCTAATATGATTTATATAAAGAATCACAGTCAGTAGGTTTCTCCAGTAAAAAGAAAAAAATATTGGATGCATCACTTCACTACATAGTTTTTTAAAACCTATGACATTTAAAGCTAATATTCTAGGAGCACAACCCATTATTTTGTGAATGCTTGAGAATAAAAATGTTCTGATCAGTATTTTTCATTACTTGAGTTTAAAAAATCATCATGACACTTTAGCAAATAAGAGACAGGTTGTTAAGGTAACAACTACTTTACAATGGCTATGATCTGAGCATCTTGTTTACTCCCCTCCAAACTGCTCCTCCATTCAAATTATTCCTTCCCTAAAGGTAACGCTAAACTACAGAGTGGGAAAAAACTGGCAGTCACAGATGAAAAATATTCTGAAGATATTTTTGCCCTTTTGTCATAAGTGCTATCTGCGCTTTCGGACCCAGAGCTGTCCTTGGCACGATCAAGTTACCTTGGTACAATCAATTAGTTAAACAAGTGGTTTAACTAATGCAGGCCAGCTGATTTTCCAGTAAAACAGGAATGGAAACTGCAGTTTAAGTAGGTATGTTGCTAATGCACATGAGCAGAAAAAAGAAAATAATCTGACTCCCCCTGTCATGTATCAGAGTGATTAGAGTAGGACACAGACGTCAAGTGAAGCTCAGACAACTGCAGTGGAGAGAAAGTCAACTGGTTACCTTTTAACCAGTAAAACAAAATGCACAACTAAATGCAAAAGACCACTCGTCTGTAAAAGTTTTTAATTAACTTAATTTATTTGGAATTAAACTCCTAAAATGGAATCTGTAACCAACTCTGATATACCTAAAAGAATTGGGTTTCTCCCACAAAAATTAACAGTGCATAGAAGTGAGTTCACAAGAAAAGGGAAGAGCTTGCTTTTTTACCTTCCAGGAGGATCTGCTTCCTCCTAGTAAGGCCAGCCAAGAGATATTGGACTTATGATTTACCCTAAAACACACGTGTGCTGGGAGGGATGAAGATGAAAAGATGGTTCCTCATTCATGAAAACTTCACCAAAATACTGAGGGTTGTAAAAAGAGATCTTAGCAGAGTTCACAGGAGTGAGAGGAAAGGTGGAGTTAGTGACTGCTGCTATACATATTTGACCAACGATTTGCATGCCTTTTCAAGGCTGTTTTGCTGGGTGCCATTAGTACACCCCAGTCTTAAGAGCAACACGGGATTTTCATATTCCAAAGAAATGTTAGAGGTAAATTCCACAACGACTGAGTATCGTCGCGACGGAAAGCTCAGAACACTTAATGTAAGGGTCCATGAACTTCGTTTATTGAAGGTTGACAGCAGCTTAATATACACTTCATAATTGGCTCATGAATATTACAGAAATTAGGCTCATTATTGGCCCACAGTTAGGTGGTGATATCATCTTAACTGTCTTCCCTTGTTTACACAGGTGGCTCGTTAAGAGCCTTTTGTTTTGCTAATGCCAGGCTCCTGTTTTCCTGCTCAATTTAGAATACCCAAGGACACTGCTGCTTTCTCACAGCCTGCTATCTCCTTCTTTCTCACGGCCTAGCTAGAGGCCTGCGTCTTATACTTTAGCAGCTCATCCATGGCTTTAGCCATGTCCATATGTCCACACATTTCTAATCAATTCTCCACAACTGAGAAAACTGGCTGGCAGAACTGTGATAAACCAAATGTTGTAATGCTGTGTCAAACACAGTATAAACATTTCATAGAACAGACCATTAATGCTACCTGGCTCTCAGAGAGCACTTTTTACCTTCAGACCATATTATATCAGTCTGCTAAAGAAATAACAATGAAAGGCAAGTTCTACACATCAAGAGAAAACTATCAGAACAACAATTATATCAGCTTTTAATCAGGTATTATACTTCATTTACAGTACTAATTTCTTTTTTACAATATTGGTAATAGTGTAGTGTTACTTTAGGGCACTCACTGCAACTGATAATTTGCTTTGATCTGGGTCAAGTAGCACAGTTCCAGCATGTAAAGGGATCAGAAATATAATTCTTATCCTGATATGGATCAGACTCTTCACTTGATGCAGAAAAATTACTAGCTAACCTAGGTACATCAAAGAATGATAAATTATTAGTTTTAGACAGCTTTTGTCAATTGATACAATATTTGCCTTTTTTTTTTTTTTCCTGATTTATCTCTACCCCTGCTAGCAAGAAACTTCTCAATTCCTTTCTTCTTTCCTATTATCTACTCTCTCCAACTCTGGTCTTTCACTTTTAATGGTCTTGTAACATTCAAATCATCTACTTAGGTAATATTTAGGCCACCCATAATCTTTGCCAAGATAGGTTGGAATAGATAAGGAAATTGCATGCAGCAGAAGAAAGATAAGCAGAGAACTCAGACTGTTTGTCTATTTACTTGTTACTTTCGAAAAACAAGTGCCTGCAAAACATATCTCCAGTCACTCATCTCGACAACTTTATGACTAGTAATTCCCAGTGAACAGCCATTCAGGCTACTGGAGATATCAAGTACTAGTTGTGGTATTGTTTGGTTTTGCTCCAAGAGCAGACTTGGGACTGTCTGTTGCTCAGTAATCTCTCCAAGGAAAATTTGATTCATGCAATCCTAACTCATTAGTAGTCCACATATTTTCATAACATAACAAGACCAGTTCAAACCAGTTCCTGGTAGATCTCTGTCTCCCATGTAAGCCTATCAATCATAATGACAAACCAAGCTACTGCCTTAAAGCTAATGATAAACATTCAGTTGATGTTCTGTTTTTGGGAAAAACACCAGTCAATAATAACCCATGTGTTTTTTCATGGTCTTCCTCTTAGTTAGGACAACTAAATCAGAGGACCTAATTCAAATTTTTTCAAAATATTTGTTTGATGTCATTCACATTTTCAGGAATATCAAATCTGTTCATTTCATACTCAAGGTCTGCCTATACTTTTAAAATTATTATTATTTTTGTTTTACTTCTCCATTGTATTCATGACACCATTTGTTGTTCTTTAGGAATCACTGCATATGACATGAGTAACCCAACAAACTTCACACTGCTTCATTAATTACTCAAATATAAATATCCACTGGGAACAAAATTATACAAAATACCAGTAGAGAATTCCCCGCAGCTGAGGGTAGCCTCTTAGGATTTGGTCGATGACTTGCCAGGGTTCTGGAGTATCTTATTCTACCAAACCTTGCCCATGAAGAAAAACAAGCTCTTTATTCCCTTCCTGCATTTCCAGCATGCAACAGCACAGAATGATGCTAACTCATGCCACTGAAAAATAAACATCTATTTTCATGACTCATTTTCTAATTTGTAGCAGATAATGCTACCTTCCAAACCAACCTCAGTAGTATATTCCAAACAAAACTTATTCTCTTCCATTCTCTGCCCCCCCACACACTTATTTTCAGTTAGATTAACTACCTAATATGCCTTATCAGCCAGCTGAGCACACACCTGTGTCATCACAGCAGTGTGGAAGGAACAGTATCGGTTCAGAAGGGTCAGGAGTGTCTCTTTTAACAAATGTACTCTGGAAGGCTTCCCGGTCATTGCTTTAGAGCTTTCCCTCCTTCTCTCTTTTCATTAATACAAGTCACTTCTGTGGTTGACTTTTGTTGTTTGGCCCCAAGAGTCTAAACAGGGAAATGCTGAAATTCCACGTGTTCAATTCCTCTACTAAAAACAGAAGTGTGCCCTGCTGTGATAACATGTTTGTATACACTTAACTCACCTAAATTCATCCCCCAAAAGCTTTGTTTCAACTGGGGTTTTTTTGTGTATTGTAATATGTCATTGTTTAAAGCAAATAAAATGGAAGTCTTGATAAAGTTGTGCATAGGCTAAATTTTAAAACATTGTACTAGTGTTAAATTAGAGGAAACATTGGAGCAGTCAACACAATGTTTGTATTTTGTTATTTACTTTTCTTCAGGGTTGGAACCACAGTATAGACTCCTCTGGCAAAGGATTTGTCATCTGCCTAAAAAAGCACCATATGCATAATTTAGAACAATTTAAGGAATTCTCTTCTGAGAATATAATGTAATAATACTTTATACATTATAAATGGGATTTAATTTTAGAAGAGGCAGAAAATATTGACAGCATTTTGTACAATGACCTTTATCACTATATTTATGGGCTCATCACATGAAACTTTCTTTTAAAAATATAGCAAGAAGGTCTGGTGTGAAAATTGATTTTCTGACAGACATTAGTTTTTGGAATATCCTATACAAGCCTGAAAATAAATCAACTTGAAACTATTTGCTATTCCCTCTTATAAAGAGCTTATATTAAAGATTTCTGTACAGTACCATATATTTTCACAACCACTAGATATAATGCCAGTTCTTCCTCTTGTTTCAGTTTGCAGTTCATTTGCTATCCATGTGCTTAACATAAAGATGAAGGAAATTTCAAAAGTTGATTATGAGAGTAAACAGGAAAGGACTGCATTTCTAAGCTGATTACAATATTGATAAAGGACTAGCTGTGAAGTAAGGCTGTTAAATGTTACGTGTATTGATCTTCTGTACAATCAGCTGTGTAAGCCAGGAAGGAAAAAGAGCATGAAGTATTACAGTACAAATAACCTGTCATTCACACCTTTTCTTCCCCTAAATGATAATTGCCTATTCCCTGCACACACTTATTGACATACACACAAATTATTTATTCCTGCTCAGAATGAAAAGACAGGCCTGAGGTCTTCAAGTCCACTGGAGTTTCATGAGCAGGGAGTTTGTCTGTTCTCCTGGAGGACAGCAAAAGGATTCAAACCAAGGTTAAAATGAAAACTCTGGAAGAGTGTACTCATTATCTTCACAGCTGCTCAGCAATTACACAATTCTGCTACATTCTTGCAGCTATTTAAAATTATTGCACACAAAGCTTTCAGCAAACAGTTACATACCTGCCACTCTGGTCTGTGGTCCATGCCACGGATCTTCCGCCCGGGTTGGTTTTGTACCATATTCTTATAGCGTGAGGGAAGTCTGCTGGAGTCCCAATTCCTGGTTTCCTGATCTCCAAGCTCCAAGGGCCAGTAGCAAAGGGAAGTTCTCCACAGCCAGGTGCCTGGCTGCAGTGAGTAAAACAGCACAGCTGTTCCTCCCAGCGCTTTGCAGGTAGAGCCACGAGTTCATGGACAATGTGATTCCTGAGATTTCCCAGCTCCTTTGAAACATCAGTTAGCTTGGCAGGCCTTGTAAATTGTTCAATGCCTGACACAGCAGCAACATCTACCTCTTCAACCTTTAGTACAGATAAATCACAGCAGTCCAATACCAGCACAAAATCCTCATTCCCATGATTCTCTCTGTCACAGCAGTCCTCTGAACTGGAAATCCCAGAAGCCTGTTCACTGTTGCTATGGTTACCACTTTCATCAGAAGTATCTTCTTCACCTTCACCACTGACAGCAAAACCATTATATTCCATTTCAGATGAACAGGCACTCACATTTGTCACAGGAATGTGGCAGTGTTCAGATGCCCTCATTTTATGGGACTGATCAAACTCTGACTGGCAGCATTCACTGCCGGTACTGCTGGTTTTCCTGTGCTGGCTCCCAGTCTCAAAGAATAAAACTATGCTGCCTTCAATAACTTTACTTTTAAAATCCACATCCAAGTCCAACACATAGTGCTTTACAAGCATGTAGCTGGTGTTTGCCATTAAGGGCAAGTCATCCTTCATGGGGTCTAGCTGTGGATCCATGTTCCAGTCTATTGGGCAACAGTTTTACAAAGCTTTAGACAATTCTTACATAGGATGACTCCAGAAAGAGAAGAATATTCAGCTTCCCAGTGCCAAAAATAATTTTGAATAATATTAGAGTATTGAAATTAATTGTAGTTTCTCCACTTCCCACATTCTAAAAAAAAAAAAAAAAAAAAATAAAATCATTTCACAACCATTTCTGAAATGCAAATTCTAAAAGCTATTTAAAGTCCAGTTTCCTTTATTAAAAATCATACAGCCAAAGGGTGATTCTAACTCCACAGAACAGCATCCATCTAGGATGGCATCAAGCTAGTTGCTTCAAGATTTACTGTCAAGAACCACTAGGCTGTATTTTTCAGATAAGAACTCTAGTGAAAATATTTCTAGACAGCTTTTATAAACTGACAGAAACAACCCTTACTATAGTCAGCTGCTGTTGACTCTCTTCACTAATCCTTTAGAAAAGATAAATGGTTATGAAACATCTAACTTTATTTATTACTGCACAGTTTGAAGTTGTATTTATTTCAAATGTATCAAGACATAGTGATATATTTCTACTGTGGTTTTAAATAATGAGAGTAAGTATAATTTACCTCATATTTTAAAGTTTTAGAGTAATAATTTCATATATACAATGCATCTCCACAGATTAATATACTTTCCACATTACAACCACTCTCATATCAGCACTTCTGGTAAATAAAAAGAACATGAGTCAATTTACTAGAGTGCATTCCAAGTATTCCTTTGAGATTGCTCATGAAGATTTTTAAAAACTGTAAGTAAATACTTAAGGTATATAATTACACCTTAATAGCTGGAAACTCACAACACTCCAGACAAAAGTGCTTTACAGCAAAACAAAAGGTCTTCTCACTGGAAAACATGTAAATACCTATAAAAGCATGAAAATACGAAAATGCATCAGCATTTGTTGCAACAAGAAGCAGAAGTTCATCACAGAAGTTAAACTGTCATGTATTCTTTGTTTTGCTATGACCACTGTGCAAAAGTCATGAAGTCTTTTTTTTTTAGATACTTCTCTTATTCAACATTGTCTTATGCAAGATTCTTTGCTGTGTTACGCCCATAATATGCGCATCTGTTTTTCATTTTCGTGAAAGTAATACATTTCAACTTTAGAAAAGGTGGTTCACTAACTGGACTCTAAGCATAAAAAATAACCAGGAATTGTAATTCTACTACAAACTTCTGATGATCATTTTGCAAACATTGTTTTGTGTGACACTTCTTCAACACAGAGATGTAACAAATAACTAGTATACTTTAAAATAGATCTCACATTCAATGCTCTTTCCTTATCAAATGTACTTTGTAAGTCATAAAATTATAAGGCAAGCTAATTATTTGGTTACATGTTTTAATATTTTAGAAGACAAGATGTTCACAAAACAACCACAACAGCAGATGGTAACCAACATGAATAGAGTCGCTCTTGATCACCTGAACATAACAGAGTTGCATAAAAGGCACAAAGAATGGGAAACAGGGGAGAAGTGGTCTTTCCTGGAATGATATTTGTATAACATTGTTTTTCCACTTAATACAAAAAGCAGCAATGTGAATTAGAACCATTGGTCTCTGAAAGCAAATACAAAAAAAAAGCTTCCAGGCAAAATAAAATATGGTTGCAAAGTAGACAAGATTAAACTTTCTAAAAATACCTATAGCAAAAAAAAAAAAGTTTCTTTGTGACACAGTAACTCATGGTCTTGATTGATACACTTAAAAGGAAAATGTAATAAAGAGAAAGGGGAAGGGAAGAACTTGGAAACATAATTCCATCCTACTGGGGAAGGTGGAGGAAAAAAACTCAGGGGCACCTGAATAACCCAGAATATCCATTTCAAATGGTGAACAAGAAAATGGAGAATAACTGTTACACAAAGTAGTCTAATTAAACTTGTAAATAGCCCATTAAAAACTAGAATCATCAATTATGGTACTTGACACTGAAATTCCATTATTCTAGGAGGCTGATACTTTCAATTGCTAACAGCTAATTACTCCAGTTTAACTTCACTCCAACAGTAATAATCCAGATGAGAAAATCAGAAAAACCACCTGAACTTGTTGGAAGGTTCAGCAGAGGCACTGCTAAATGGAAGCAAATGAAAGGCTTACAAACTTAAAACAAACAAACAAACAAAGCAAACAAAAACAAACAAAAAAACCCCACCAAAACAAAAAAAAAAGAAACCCACAAAAAAAAAAACACCCCTCACCTCCTATACGAATGTGAAAGGCACGTGCGGCAGTCAAGATAGTCCTACCTCTTGCCATGCAAACCTGTGCCAAATACAACACATACACAAACCACCTCTTATTTCAGAGCTGTTTCTTTTCATGCAGTTCCAAAATCTTAAAAAACAGAAATGAGAGGGCTGTATGAGAGAAGATCAAAAGAGCTGATCCCCAACCAAACCAAGCAGTTACAACTCTGTATTTGACATCTGCCAAGCTCCACAAAATTCTCTTAAGCTGGGAACTACTTGAAAGTAGTTCCAAATAATTTTAATACATTAACTGGTTACTGCCTTAAAAACCATTTCCACTATTTTTCATTGTGGAAAATCAGAGTTGCAGAAACTTATTCAAACACAAATTCTGATACAAGTAGCAGGCAGCAAGCCCCAAGACAGTGCCCATTTCCATCTCATCTCTTCTGTTTTTCAGACAGTACACAAACACACTCCCTGAAATAACAGCCAAATAAAGCAACTCAACAGAAATTTATGCAAATCCAGTTTCCTAGAAAACTAAGGATGGTCAGATGAACCCTACCAATTTATGCTAAGTCTGTTTGAAGATATTTCTCCCAGCAGCTCATTCTGCCAGAATCACCCACTTGGAACAACTGTCAATAGGGAGCTATTTCCATGCACACAACCCTGGCACATGCACCCAAGTGGTGATTTAAGGGAATATTCTGATCTGCAAACAGGGACCTCTGGAGCACAGAGACCAGCTGGTTTATATTATGTACTCACTGTATTCCTCAAAAGGTGTAGACGAACTTCTGCACCACAGACTTTCCCTACATTCCACTGGCCAATATCCAGATGACACACATTTAAACAATAGCTTTTTATATCAGCAAAACAAAGCCATGTTTGGCCTCTCTTCACCTTCAGCTAAGCGTTTGCTTCATCTGTACATAAAAGCTAATTCAATTCCTTTCAACATGCAGGTGTTAGAATTATAACCTATAACGCTTTCTACTTAGAATTTAAAGAAATTTAAAAATAAAAAAAAAAGAGCCTTTTGGATAAACCTTGTCTTTCATAATTATAAGCAGTTTATAACTAATTCTCTTTAAACTGATTTCATGGCAGCTTCTCCCAAATCCAAGATTTAGAAATTTTTCACACAGTGTAAGACATTAAGATCGTACCCAGAAGTCAGTTTTGAACATCAGCATCAACAATAATTTTACTGCTTAAATATCAAGTAACATGTATTCATTATTTTTGGTAATTACAAACTTTTTTCCCCTGACACATAACACAAATAGGTAAGACATCTTAAGCCTTTTCAAGGCAAGAATGAGTTCTTCTATAGATGAAAGTAAGGTTTAAACAAGCTAATAGGAACATTTGCTACTGTTAAACTGCTATAAAACAATCCAGAGAAGAGAGCTTGCAGACCTCACTCTGCATCACAAGAAAACCATCACATTTTGTAATGAGCTTGGATGTGGAAATTAATTCAATTACTAATGTCCCTGGATAATTGGTGCCATTCCAGAAATCTTCTTTTAAGTATGAAAACTAGAGAAATAATGAGCATAATGCAAGACCTTTGTCAACTACAAGTTACAGCAGGAAGTTAATTCTGATGAGCTGAAATTACAAGTCAAGATAGAAAACTCCTTCTTTCAGCTGAAGTAAGAAGAGATACACCAAAAAATCAAAGTCTCCATCCACCCCCTCAAATACTAATTCCTTGAGAAAAACAACAAAAGACTGAAAGAGAAGCATATCTTACTACTCGTAAAGAAGCTAAGAAGAGCATCCTGATATTCCCCTTAACTTCTCTTTAGTCCACTGGCAATTATTTGTATTACACTAGTGACCAAATACCTAAAACAATTAAACAGAGACCAAATACTTGTTTTAAAAGTCCCTACCCACAAATCTACATTACTATGTTTATAAATAAGATCCCAAACACTTACGTAAGGATGGAATTTTTCATGTTTTATTTTACAGAATTATTTCAAGGTGGATGTGATAATCTGGTATACCTAACCCTGCTTGAGCTGCAGCATTGGACTGATGGTCTGCAGCAGTCCCCTCCAACTTCATCGATTCTGTGGAGATGCTGAACAGCATTAAAGAGGAGCAGAATTATTTCCACTCAAAATACACAAGGAAGGGGCACGTGCAACTGACCTTCAGGAGATGGAGCATGTCTGTCACATGATATTGGTATATAGGAAGCATCCAAATAAAATCCATGCTGAAATAGAGCTGTTTTTAACTCAGTGCAGCAGTTGGTATATGAATACCACCTACCATGCCAAAGAACCACTTTCTTAAGGCTGAAATAAGAAAAAGACTCTTCTCTTCCCAATGTTGACAATGGCAAGCCACCTCAGACACTCAACCTGACCTCTGCAAAACTAAGCATTAAACTGAGCGAAGGAACTAACACACAACTAGGCCGAAATCCTAAGATGAATTACACACCACCATTTATTAAAATATGAGTTTCACCTACATGTTTCTAGTGTTAAAAAGGCCAACGGGTGGGACAGCTCAATAACTAGCTTTGAATGGGTCATGTTTAAAGCTCTTTCAGGAAACCAGAGGCCCAGAAGAGGGGCACTGATTCAAGCGGTGAGACAAAAGGCGGCAGATACTGCTGCGCTGCAATCTGAGCCCTGCGCTGCTCCCCGCGCTCCGGGGCAGCCCTTCAGTTCATGAGCGAAGGCAGCGACGGCAGCTCGTCCCCTCCCGGAGCGCCTCCCCAGCCGCGGCCTGGCGGGAGCGGGGATCCCACCTCGGCCCCGCCGGCCCGGAGCGGGCCCGGCCCGGGCAGGGATGGAGCGGGGGGGGTAAAGGCAAGGAGGGAACGCTCGGAGCGGGGGCCGCTGCCCGCCCGCGGACACGCGGAGCCGGAACCGCGTTACCTGCGCTCCGCCCGCCGCACGGGCCCGCGCGGCGCCCTCGGATGAGCTCAAACCGCCCCGCCCCGGACCCGCCCCGGACCCGCCCCGGACCCGCCCCGGACCCGCCCCGGACCCGCCCCGGACCCGCCCCGGACCCGCCCCGGACCCGCCCCGGACCCGCCCCGGACCCGCCCCGGACCCGCCCCGGACCCGCCCCGGACCCGCCCCGGACCCGCCCCGGACCCGCCCCGGACCCGCCCCGGACCCGCCCCGGACCCGCCCCGGACCCGCCCCGGACCC